TTCACAATCAACTAATTATAATTCCTATCCCCCCAATGGATCAAGCAAGAGATGAAGAACAATCTAATATTTTTTACTAATGAAGGGATAACTAGTAATTTGTACCGGAATATGTAAACTTCTCCGGAGAGGGTGTGCCAAAGCCCACGCGAAAATAATTTTTTTTTCAACACAGTATAAACGCAAGCGCTCACATGAATTCTGATGAGCTGAGGATACCACAGTCTCTTTAACCATTCAATCACAGGTTGATTCGCCGAAAACAAACTCTTCTACTCCATGTCTGGTCGCAAGCAAACAGGCACGCAATGGTGAAGCGCCAGGAAGCCACCTCTAACACAGTTATCGGGTCCCACAAGTCAGTCTCCTATTAAGCCAACCACCCACACGGGCGCCATATAATGATAATATCTCCAGAACCGTCCCCGTCCTCCTCCCCCCTCCGCCAAGAGATCCTCCTCCGGGGGGCTCGACCCGACACGACACCTACCTCTCGCCGGCCAAACCCCAATCCATCCCTTCTCGAACCTTCTAGATCCCCCCCCTCCCCGCCACCATGGCCACGTCCCTCCTCCTCCTCCTGCTCCTCGCGCTGCTCCTCCCCTCCCCCGCCCCGGCCCGCGCCGCCTCGCTCTCCCCGCTCCCGGCCACTTCCAACGCCTCGGCGCACGCCTACGCCTTCGCGGGCCGCGAGCCGGTGCCCGCCCCGGATCCCACCTTCTTCGACGACGTCATCGACGCCGTCGCCGACAAGTACGGCTGGGACCCCGACGCCGAGGTCCGGGTCTGGCCGCTCGACGCCGGGGGCGCGTTCGTCGGCGCCGTGCAGCGCTACGAGTTCCGCGCCCGCGCGGGGGGCGCCGCGGCCGCGCTCGCGCGGGCCTCCGACGGGTTCGTCGACTGGAGCCGCCCCGACGCCCCCGCGGTGGAGGAGGTGCTCGGGCCCGACGGGGTCGACTTCGTCGCCGGCCACGGCGCCCTGGCGTTCGGCTCCGGCGTCAGGGACCTCGACCTCGTCGGGCCGCTCGAGGTGTTCGTCTCCGATGGCGCTGGCGGGGGCCTCGCGGAGCTCCACTTACCGTCGGTTAGTGCTGCTGTTTGACCTTTTGCTTTACTGTTGCTTCAGATTTTGCTCTCGCTTGCTTGCTTGCTTGCTTGCTATGCTAGCGGTGGTATCGGTACGGAATTAAAGTTGTGTCACCTTTAAGATGAAGCAATTGCTCTAATTGGTGAATGATCTAGCTGCTGCCTACTCCTTTTAGTTTTGATTACGACTTCAAATTGGTTGCGGTTGTTGCAGCGTCTGAACACTAGTATTTGGTACAGATATATCTGGTTTAATTTTCGTTGTGTGTACATGGTGTCAATTGGACCAATTTTCTCCTAGATTTGGAGGTAAGTTTGTAAGGATATGCAACAAAATTGAACATCAAAACCTTCAGTTCGGTTCCACTTGTCGTTCTACCTTGATTGCACAGTGACCTTAAACTGTTGAATGCTATTAATGGAAGAGGGTAGAAGTAGTGAGTGTAACAAGCTATGTGCATTTAAATTTGCTATGTTCATCCATTTAAGTACACTTACACACATATGGAATGCCTTTACTAGGGGTAGCATATCGATGCCCAATACAGTATGCGAGATACCAAAACATTGGACTCTTGTTCTCAGTGGCTTCTACTTCTATGTGGTTGACTTAAATGTAGCTTCCAGGATATTTGATTTTGAATTTAGCTTAACTCCAGATTATTAAAGACAGGATACAAACATTTTGTTCTAGCATGCCTGGGCAAGGGTTTGTTCTGGGTGGAAAAGGAATGGACACAAATAGGATAATCAGATATATGCAGTTTTGCTTGTTTAGTTAATTATAATTATAATGTACAGCAGTGTTGTCTGTATATCTTTGATTGTTGTATATGCTGGAGAATTGAGATAAACTGCTCTTGGATATATGTGTTTGCTCTATGTTAGCTATGTCTGTAATAGTCACCAAATAAAAAGTGGATATGCCACATACTGTGTTTGGCATTTGTTGTAAGCTGGTCATGACTAAATTATGTTACTCCCTCCGATCCATATTAATTGTCGCTGATTTAGTACACTAAATTAGTATGGATCAGAGGGAGTACCATCTTTCATGAATTAGTTTATATACGCTTCATCATACATTAAAGTCATAATGTTCAAAGAATTTTTGTTGTTGTACTGTTTGCTTAATGCAATATTTGTTTATCAACTGCTGCAAAATCTTATGTTGCCCCTCATATGCAGTTGAATGCCACGTATACAGGGTTGAAGAGGGTACTTGTTGCTGCTGGTGTTGCATTAAAGATTACTGGTGCACAGAGAGTGTTCTTTTCCCATCCTCACAGTATAGGTCTCTTAGCAAATGGAAGCTTGGTGGCTACTAACAAGGACCTAAGACAAATATTGCCTCTCAGCCACTCAACCTGTGCGCCATTACTTCACATGCGTGTTGTAGGATCATCAGTTACAATAGTTGCACATGAAACCAATGTCTCTGGGGGGCACATGAAGCCCTTGTTGACTTCTGGTGACGCTATCGAGTTACTATCAGACCAGTCTGAAGTGAACGACATGTCAGATCGGTTGATCTCAGCATGTGCGTTCTGTTCAATTAGTCCAAGGTTGCCGAAGCTTGAAAAACTCCTGAAGACTTGGTTCAGTGAGAGGAATGGGTTCAACAGAACAATGAACTTCTTCGAAGCTAGAGTGACGTCAATGACCCTGGTAAAATTCCGTTTGGAGCTCGAGAGGGACATTACTGAAGAGGACGGCATGTGGGACGATGTTCCAGAGTGGAAAACCTTGCCTGTGGTCCAGCGAATCACGCTTGACGTTATCGCTAGGGTTGAGGAAGAGGGGAGGCTCAAGGCTATATCGGTGAAGAAGGTGAGGAAATCTCTACAGATAGCGGACGCTACTTCGTGGAGCAGCCTGACTTCGAATGTCTCCTTCGCAGACTTCACGTCGTTGGTTCTGCCGCCTGATCCATTGTCACTGGATGTAAAGTGGTAACAGTTTCTTCTTGTTTATTTACTTCTGATAGTGATAGGGGCTGGTAGGAAATTGCACATATACATCAATTTCGTGTATAATTGTCGGGGCCAGAAGTGTACCTGCAAATGTGGTTTGTCTGTAACGCAATGTTGAAATTTTGTACTGTTCTTGACTACGTTGCTCCCTTTTCTCCGGACCACAGTGGGGTGGTTGATTTCAGCTTATTACCTGAAGTTGTAGATATATCTATTTGTCAGTATGGAAACATCTACTGTATACTACTCCCTCCGTAAACTAATATAATACTACTCCCTCCGTAAACTAATATAAGAGTGTTTAGATCACTTTGATGACACTTATATTAGTTTAGAGAGGGAGTACTTCATAAGCAATGTGGTGACGATATGGAGTATTTGTCAGTATTGAAACATTGATGACACTTGATTTTGTTTCTAATGTGGACGAAGAACATTCATCACTCTTAAGAAAAAAAGAACATTCATCACTCCATCACGCACACATCTTACAAGAGAAAAATTGAGAGGGAGGGCTGTCTCAGAAGAAACGTCGGCTAATGGATGCACCCTGAATATTTCTTTTGATGTCTTGCTGGTTCAATATTTTGACAGAAGCGCACGACCTCATAGATCTTTTAGCAAGGATCATAAGCCCAGATGTTCATATTTCTTTGGAACAATGGACAGCTACAATAATCCTTCGTATACTTGCTCAAAAAGGAAATTTTCTTTGAATACAAGATCAAAATCAACAGCACAGGAGCACATATTTTGCTCATATTTCTTTCAAATAATTGACAGCTACAAGAATCCTTCATATACTTGCTCAAAAATAGAGAAGATTCTTTGAATACAAGACCAATATCAACAACACACAAGCACATATTTTGCACTCGCTCAGTTAGCTAGTGTACTGCTAAACAAACATCTTGCCCATGCGGCCAACATACTAAAAGGTGCACGATGCCTGCAATAAAGAATCCAAACCATTTGAAAGAAATAATTGACAGCCTCAAGTTTTGGACATCTGCTGGTAGCACATATCACAATCCACAACACCGAAGCACACAAGGCCAAAACATCACCTGAGACAAGACGAGTTTCAAAATTGGCCGTGGTTTCCTTCACCAAACAAACATGTAGGATTCAACAAGGGAACCAAAACTCTCCGCAAGTAACAGGATGAACAATATGGCATATGCTTTCTGCTTCTTATACATTAAGATCTGAAACAGATCAACCAACTCTCCTTGTGCCAAACATAACAAAATTTCCATGCGCTGCCATGGATGCTCATTCGACAGGCGAGCCAGACCTTTGGTTACAGTACAAGAATTGTTGCCTCTAAACAAGCATCTGCTGGTAGGGCAGGGGAAAAACTGAGTCAGCCAGGCATTACGTGCAAGGCGACATCAATCAAATAAATAGCTAGAGGAGAAAAAAAATGCAGCAGAGATCATCAGCAAAAAAAAATTGGGTTGGTTTAGCATTGCCGAATCAACTGTGCATCTCAGGAGATGCCTGCCATGCCATGAACCACATCATGGTCAATGTGATCATAAATTGTGTCTGTTATTTTCGATGGTGGCCAGTATCGAAGCACAGATCTCCCAAGAATGTTCTTCACGGGTAGCGGTCCCCTGTAATGACAAACATAGCACATGAGCCACATGTCCTGGAAATTAGTCTCAAGAAATCAAGCAGGTATCCTCCATAGAGGTTTGGCATACCAGTTATGGGAATCGAAGCTGTTGTTTCTGTTGTCCCCCAGCACAAACACGTAGCCTTCAGGCACACTCTGGAAAAAGCAACCAACAACTGATCAACATATGTATACTCCAGTGTAAACTAATTTCAGAAAACGGAGGATGATCAAGTCATGGAGGCTCTTATGAACCATCAATCTACTAGTGGACCAGTGACTTCCATGTCACATTATCAACTTGAAAACACAACCAATTTAACATTTTAAGCACCAAATATGTCAGCACATTAATATATTTACATCCGATATAACAGGTTCAACAGTTTAATGATAGAAACTTGGTATCATCAAACTTGTGTCAAATTACAACATTTGGTCATTAGTATGATGCAGGAAGCAAAGATGGCATACCACCGGGTCCATTTCATAATCGGGTGGCTCGAGCACAAAGTCCTCATCTTGGACGACTCCATTAACTAATAATTGACCATCAGTCACCTATTCAGATAAGGAGGATACAGACGGTTAGAATTCATGCCAACAAGTAAACGAAATAAGAGGGGAATGGAAACAAATAGAAGCCACTACCCTTCGGATAAAAGCTTACTTCAACGATGTCCCCGCCCTTGGCCACAACCCTCTTGATGAACACATCACTTGAGCTGTAGCCCAATGCCTGCAATAAAGAAGTCCAAACTATAACATATTCCATCATCATAAATCAGAGATAAGTAAGAAGACAAACTGAATCATCATACCTGAAGGACTAGGGGTGCACGGAAGATCACAATGTCCAAAACTTGCGGCTCCCGGAAAATATATGAAACCTGAAATTGCCAGTATGCACCATCAGCAGACATACATCACAGAAAACTGCTACTCATGGAAGACTGGGAGTTAGCTGTACCCTCTCGGCGAGAATCCGGTCACCAACATCAAATGTTGGATACATTGATTTCGAAGGGATGGACCTCGGTTCCGCCAGGGAGGATTTATGGAGCAGTGGTACAGTCACAGCAGCAAGAACGGTCTTTGCATCATCCGAGCAGGAGTTCACCCACCTAGACAGCCAGCTAGTTCTCTTGCTCGCCCCTGCAGCAGCACCAAGAGCGGCACTGCTCTGTCTGACCACCCCAGCAGCACCACCAAGAGCAGCACTGCTCTGTCTCACCACCCCAGCAGCACCAGAAGCAACTGCACTACTACCAACTAACGGTGCTACTACGCTGCCCACCTTGGAAGGGGCAGCCACCGCACCACTGCTACCAAACAATGCCTTGACGCCCATCTTGGTGGGGGCAGCCACCACACCGCTGCTACCAAGCAAGGCCATCACGCCCGCCTTCGAAGGGGCAGCCACCGCAGGGGAGGGCACAGGCGAAGGCAAAGGGCGGCGGGAAGGCACATGTGTGGGCGCCGTCGACACATCCGCAGGGCGTACCGACCTGCGGGATGATGCACCGGTGATGATATCACTACAAGGGAGCCACTTTGTGGCCTGCAAGAACGGGAGCAGCGTGGCAGGGTTCAGCCCGGACGATATCGACGGCGACGCCGACAGCGAGGACACGCCGGCTATGCCAGGGCCCGAGCCGACCCCGGACGCGAGCACCGACAGCAACCCCACCGCCAGCGACGGCGGGTCATCCGCCTTTGTCGAGCCGGACGGCGAGACGAACAGCGAGTAGCTGCCCCCGTCGGCGGGGACGAGCTTGGTCAGCTGCCTGCCTCCGGCGGCTGCGACAGGGAGAGCCTTGGCGGAGCGGCCGGCACCGGCGGTGGCGGGCGGGAGAGGCTTGGGCCTGGGCTTGGGCTTGGGGTGGTTGTGGTCCTCGGCGTCATTGTGCTGCTCGACGCGGCGCGAGGAGGCGAAGAGGCAGAAGGGGCGGGAGAGCGCGTCCTGGAGGACGCGGCAGCCGGCGCCGGGCGCGGCCCCGGAGCCCGCGGCGGCGGCGGTGGTGCAGCGCAGGCCGAAGGTGGAGGCCAGGCTCTGCGCCACGTAGCCGGAGTAGGAGACGGTCATGCGGATCGCCATGGCGCCGCGTCACGGGCAAAGCTCGAATCTTTGGCGGCCGGATCTCACGGGACGCGGCGGGGCATTTCCTCCGGGGCGATCGGGACGGCGCCCCTCCGGAAGGGGCGCGCGATCGGGTGCCCAGGGGATCTAGGGTTCGGAGGATCGGTGGAGTCGGATGCTGACACGGCTCGTCTGGGAGAGGAGCGGGGTTCAGGTTGTGACGGAGCGGGTGTCTAGAGGATGGGCATCCGGCGACAGGAGGCCTCGTCGGCGGCGGCCGACGAGGTCAACGGCGGAGGGGGCGAGGGGGCGGAGAAGTGGGAGATGGGAGGTGGAGGGAGGGAGGGTGAGCGGCGGCTTCTTTATGCTCTGTTGGGATGCGTGGCAGCGTGCGGGCCGCCAGGATTTTGGAGATCTTTTTTCGATTGCGGTTGGCCCCTCCCCAACTAGGCCGGAGTGCGATGGCCGGATAGGTAGTTTCAACCCAAAATATTTGAACGGAGCGGTGAATCTCGTGTTATTTGGGTCATCTTGTTTTTACCCGTGTTGTATTTGGTTGTTACTCTACGTGCGACTGTGACTCTTATGATTTTCCCTTTTTCTCCTCAGAAAGTTTTTTTTTTACAGTCACTGTGCTGAACAAACGAAAAACAATAAATCGAATTTTCTGGCACGAATGCACAGGAAGAATAAATCGAAAACTCTCAACGTAGCCAGCCACCGTCTCCGCAAAACTAGGGTTCTTTGCCTCCCACCGGCGCCGGCGCTAGTCCGTCCCTTCTCCGGTGGCCTTAGGGCCATGGAGGCGCAGTAGATCTCGGCCCTTGCCCGTGGGAGGGCTCTGTTTTATATCTTTTTTCGGGCTTTGTTAGGGTTTGTGTCCTGCTCAGGAAGGCGAGACGGCGGAGACTCTCTGGAGATGGAAAATAAAGGTCTCTCCGTCTAGTCCCCGTTCCGGTGATGCGTGCAGTATCATCGGTGGGCGTGTGGAGGTGTGTCTTCGACGGATCTGTCTTTGATGAATTTGCTCAGATCTGTTTGCCGTTCGTCTTCGTTCATGTGTCTTCAGGTTGGATTCTTTTGATCTATACTCTTCATCCGCGGCGATTGCTGTTCCGGTGCGTTGGTTCTATGGGACCTTAGCACGACGACTTTTCGACTGTCTACTACAATAAGGTTTGTCCGGCTCCGGTGAGGGAGAGACGATGACAGCAGCGCGCCTTCGGCTCGCTTCAGTGTTTGTAGTCGTCGCTAGATGGTCTACGGATCTGAATGTAAT